GGGAATTTTGGGAATTTTGGGGAATTTTGGGGAATTTTGGGGGGATTTTGGGGGGATTTTGACGGGATTTGGGGGAATTTGTGGGGATTTTTTGGGAAATTTGGGGGGATTTGGGGGGATTTGGGGATTTTGGGGGATTTGTGGGAATTTTGGGGATTTTGGGGGAATTTTGGGGGAATTTTGGGGATTTTGGGGGGATTTTGGGGGTCCCGGGTGGATTTTGGGGGTCTCAGTTCCATTTTTGGGGGTCCTGGTCCCATTTTTGGGGGTCCCAGTTCCATTTTTGGGGGTCCCAGGGGGTTTTCGGGGCTCCCAGTTCCATTTTTGGGGGTCCCGGTCCTGATTTTGGGGATCCCAGGGGGTTTTTGGGGCTCCCAGATCCATTTTTGGGGGTCCCAGTCCCATTTTTGGGGGTCCCAGGGGGTTTTCGGGGTCCCCAATCCTATTTTTGGGGGTCCCAGATCCATTTTTGGGGCTCCCAGTTCAATTTTTGGTGGTCCAGTTTCAATTTTTGGGGGTCTCCAGTCCCATTTTTGGGGGTCCTGGTTCCGATTTCGGGGGTCCCAGTTCCATTTTTGGGGGTCCTGGTCCCATTTTTGGGGTCCCGGTCCTGTTTTTGGGGGTCCCAGGGAGTTTTTGGGGGTCCCAGTTCAATTTCTGGGGCTCCCAGTCCAATTTTTGGGGGTCCCAGTTCCATTTTTGGGGGTCCCAGGGGGTTTTAGGGTTCCCCAGTCCCATTTTTGGGACTCCCAGTTCCATTTTTGGGGGTCCCAGTTCCATTTCTGGGGGTCCCAGTTCCATTTCTGGGGGTCCCAGTCCCATTTTTGGGGCTCCCAGTCCAATTTTTGGGGGTCCCAGTTCCATTTTTGGGGGTCCCAGGGAGTTTTTGGGGGTCCTGGTTGCGTTTTTGGGGGTCCCGGTTCCGTTTTCGGGGGTCCCGGTTCCGATTTCGGGGTCCCCAGTCCCATTTTTGGGGTCTCAGTTCCATTTTCGGGGTTCCCAGGGGGTTTTTGGGGGTCCCAGTCCCATTTTTGGGGGTCCCGATTCCATTTCTGGGGGTCCCAGGGGGTTTTTGGGGGTCCCGGTCCCGTTTCCGGGGATCCCGGTCCCGTTTTTGGGGGTCCCGGTCCCGTTTCCGGGGGTCCCAGGGGGTTTTTGGGGCTCCCAGTTCCATTTCCGGGGGTTCCAGTTCTGATTTGGGGGGTCCCAGGGGGTTTTTGGGGGTCCCGGTTTCGTTTCCGGGTGTCCCGGTTCCGATTTCGGGGGTCCCGGTCCCGTTTTTGGGGGTCCCGGTTCCGTTTTTGGAGGTCCCGGTTCCGATTTCAGGGGTCCCGGTTCCGTTTCCGGGGGTCCCGGGGGGTTTTCGGGGCTCCCAGTTCCATTTTTGGGGGTCCCGGTCCTGATTTTGGGGATCCCAGGGGGTTTTTGGGGCTCCCAGATCCATT